TATTATCATCATGTGATATATTATTAAAAATATAATTTATATAGTTATGTGTTCTTTCTGCTGTCGATAAAATCACATATTTATTGTTTATATTTATTTGACATATTAAATCACGTGATTTAATATTAATTTATTTTTTCATGTAAAAATAATGATCATGACAATAAAAATTACCTGCACACACGAGTTTTTTCTAAGGCAAAACCAGACCCAAAGAAGGTTCTGGAAGGAAGGGGAAGCCCCACAGACAAAGATGTGCCAGTGCAGACACCCTGACCTTCCCCAGGCACAGCAGAGCTGGAGCCCAACACCGTGTCCTTTGGGCAGCCAAAGGATTCCTCACCCAAAGGCCACGGATCCCGCTGCTCCAGGGGCAGCAGGAAATGCTTGTGGTGCTGCTGGGATGCAGGGCAGGGGAGCCTTTGTGTTTTATAGGTCAGAGCCCTTTGGAAAAAGCCTGGCAGCTGAGCTCAGAGCAGCTTTGTAGGTTCACTGGGCTGCAGACGGGCCAAGTCCAACCTATTTAGGGCTCAGAGAAAGGACACCAAGTGCCACGAAAGAGAAGAGAAACCCCGGGCAGGATTTCAGGGGGAAAATGGGACATTTGGATGCAGTCAGGGCTGGCTGCAGTTTTAGGGGAACAGAAGGATACATCCACTCAAACAGCATCATGAAGCTGGTCTTGGCGTTGAAGGCAAAGGCAATTCCCCTCAGATCTCTCACCAAACCCACCAAAGTTCTCTGTGTGGAGAAAGGAAAGGTGTTAAAATAAAATACAGGCATGGAGCAATCCCTGCCTGGCTCCACTTCCCTCCCTTCCCATCCCAACAGCAATCCCTGCCTGGCTCCACTTCCCTCCCTTCCCATCCCAACAGCAATCCCTGCCTGTGCTGGAGCCCAATCCCAGCCTGGACAGTCCTTCCTCTCCATTGCCAGGAGCTGGGACACCACTGGGATATTTCATTCCCAGCAGAGGGAATGCTGGCAGGTGAGTCTCCCTGCTCCAACCCCAAACCACACCTGATCCCGAGGGATACAGGCCATCCCTCCTTCCCCTTCCCCCTGGAAGGGAAGCTCCCACCACTCCAGCTTGTATTTCAGAGGGGAGAGCAGCTCCCACTCTGCACAAATGACTGCTCTCTCCTGCCCCTCTGAAAACATCCAGGTCTCCAAGGAAAACAGCAGGGAGAACAGGGATAACAGGGATAACAGGGAATGTCCCGACTTACTTTTGCCTCTTGTTCGTTGAAGGTGTTTGTGCTGAACATCTGGGCCACAGTCTCAAAGGCAGCAGTGAGGGGAAGCATGAACTGCTCATACTGATCCTCATCTTCCCCTGAGAGGGAGAAAAAACCCCAGGAATTTAGGAGAAAATAAATGGCACATCCCTGTGTCCTGTGCCAGACACTCCCCTGGAGGCAGAGGGACCAGAGGTCTCCAGCCAGGTGATCTGTCACTGCCAAAATCTGACTGACAAGTGGCTTAGAACAAACTGGGCCATGCCAGGAAAACATGTGGGATATCAGGATGGAAAAATTCAGCCCCAGGTTTGGTGGCCTGTGCCCAGTAACGTGGCATCAAACCCACCCTCGAGCTTCCTTCCCTTTTTCTTTCGTGGGGGTTTTCCAACTCCAGCCTCCTTGCCTGGAGGGGCTTACAGCTCCCTAAACAAGCAGGGCCCAGCTTCCAAAGCCCAGGATATTGCTCTGATTCCCAGGAAAAGCCCCCAAGTACCTAAATCCACCATGAGCAGACGCCCCAGTGCAGTGTAGAACGTCGTCCGACACCTCATGTCCGTCAGGTTGGACTGATTGTTAATGCCCAGGAAGGAAAAGTGCTCACTCTGGAGAGGGAAAACAAAGGTGGGTTAAAGAGGAAGAGGCCTCCAGTGGCACCAGGGGAGGTTTGGGTTGGGTATCACGAAAAAATTCTTCATGGGAAGGGTTGAAAATCATTGGAACAGGCTGTGGTGGAGTGTCCGTCCCTGGAAGGGTTCAAACCACACATGGATGTGGCATTTGGGGACATGGTTGAGTGGGGACAGTGGTGGTGGTGCTGGCTGATCACTGAACTCAGTCTTAAAGGGCTTTCCCAACCTCAACAGTTCAGGGAACCACCACCCTGAACAGGTTCCTGTGCCAGGGGCTGAGGATCCCAACTCCAGCTGATCCCAGGCTGGGCACTGATGGGAAGCAGCGGGATCCAGGGATACCTGGAGCTGTCCCGGAGCACAGGCCACCAGAGGGCAACAGGCACTGCCTGGAAAGCAAATCCCAGCACTGCCATCCCTCACCCTGGAATTCCCCAGCCCCAGGTGAACCAGGAAGTCTGGCTCTGCCTCTGGAGCAGAGATGGAATCTCTGGAGCAGAGATGGAATCCCCCCCTTTACTGCTGGGGACCCTTCAGGCTGCCTTAAAGCAGCTCTCAGAGAGCAGATTGCCCAGCTACTCTGCCCACATTCTCCATGGAAACAGCAATTCCAGACTGAATTCAGCTTCTGGGCCGAGGGCAGGACGTGGGAATGCCTGAAAAGCTCAGGGAATGCAGCTCCTCATTCCACCAGGCACTGAAAACCCTCTGGAAGGGGAACTGAGTGTCCAACTGCTCCAGCATTGGAGCATCACAGAAACATGGAACAGAATCATGGAATGGTGTGGGTTGGAGGGACCTTAAGGATCACCTTGTTCCACCCCCTGCCATGGGCAGGGACACCTCCCACTGTCCCAGCTTGCTCCAAGCCCTGTCCAACCTGGCCTTGGACACTTCCAGGGATGGGTCTGGCCTGAGTGGAGAGCAGAGCCCTCCCACACTGAGGGCTACAAAATCACAGCCCCTCAGAACCCAACAGAGGTGGGACACAAACCACACCTTCCACAGGCTCATCTGGTACCAGGGAGGCACCTGAGAGCCAGGAAAACTTCCAGAGTGTGTCAAACTGTCTCCCTGGGGATTGTCTGAGCTGCACAAAGGCAGGGGGGGAGAGGGAGGAGGAGGAGGAGGAAGGACTCACCGTGTGATTGTTCAGCATGAACTGCACAGCGCTCAGCTTCACCAGCTTCCTCACGCTGCTGTACGTGCAGGGGGGTTAAGGAAGCAGCAGAGAATCCTTAAAAAATCCTTACAAAAGCACTCCCAGGGCAAAGCTGGAAGGGGATTGTGCCTGTGTTATTCAGGACGTTGTGGATTCTCCTCCATTTGTTTCAAGAGCAACCAAGGCCTCAATGGAGAGACCTGCAGTGATGGGTTTTGTTTACTCTGCCATAAAAAAATTTGCCTGGAGCTTGTGGAAAGGCAGAAGACAGGCTGTAAACTGGCTGTGGGTGGTCAACTTTGAAACAATTATGATCCAAAATTTAAAAAAATCTACATCCCAGCCATCCACTGCGATCCAACGAGGTGTGGGGCAAACACACCCTGCTTTTCTCACTGCCCAAAAGGTGAAGGGGTTTGGGGAGCTGTGACTCGCTCCTGGGCCACTCTTCCCTCACCCCTGTGCCCCCAGCAGCTCTTCCCAAAAGGATATCCAATGGAGAGGTCGTTGAGCAGCTGCAGTGTCTTGGAGGTGATGGGCTCACACCGACCCCAGTACTTCAGGTTGGTGATGCTGCAAGAGGGAAGAGGACAGGGATGGGTCAGAGGGGGTTTGCTCGGATTCCCCTGGGCTGGGCAGCGGATTCTTGCAGTTTAAGTCACCCCAAAATGCTCAGCTCCACCCTCCACCGAGACCACAGACAGCACAAGCCACAAAAGATCGGTATAAAATCACTGTACTTACATTTGGTTGACTAGAAAATTATCCTTCAGATAATCTTCACTACTTGGGTCCCAAGCTACACTGGCCCATAGCCAGGCCCTTGGAATTCTGGGGCACTCCAGGGCTGGTTTCTGCAGCAAGGGTAAGAGAATTCTGCGGCAGTGACTACATGCAGACGTATGCAATTCTGCACCTGCACCATCCACTGTCAGCTGCAGAATTCTAGTAGCCCTTGCTTCTTCCAGGAGAGCCATTCCATCCCTCGGGAATGCTGCCCAGCCAGGGTTTGTGGGATGAGCAAGGCCCCGTGCAGGTAAAAACGGGGGCGATGCTGAACGAGTGCGGGGGGAGCTTTGGGCTGCTCGGCACCAGGCACAGGGCACTGGGTGCCAGCTGCTCAGTTGGTTCCAAACACTCCAAAGGCTGGACAAAAAGCCAGGCTGGGTCTGGAGAAGAGGCCGAATTGGGTGTTGATGGGAGTGGAGGAGTGTTTTTAAGGGAAGGATTCGGGACCGAGCGGCAAAGAAAAGCTTCGGAGGAGCCGCCGGTGCCTCCCCACAGAGCTCTCGTGGCTGCCAAGCGTGGAGTGACCACAGGGGACGTGTGCTGGGAGCTGCCCCCTCCCTGCCTCTGCTTTTCACTGGGAAGAGAATCCGTTCTCCTGGCGTGTGGCTTTATTTTTGTGTCTCGGCGTGGGGGACAAACCAATCCTGGGCGCCGTGCGTGACCTCAGCCCTGAGAAAAGCCTGTAATTCCCTCGAGGAGAGCCAGATGTTCCTAGGTTTTTTTGCTGGTTTTTTTGTTTTTTTTAAGGCTGACCAACGCTCCCTCACCAACACTGCAGTTTTCCTGGTGCAGCAGAGCCTGGGCTCTGGGCTGCCTGGGGGGCAGCAGCACTTACATTTTCCCGATGAACACGCTCAGCACCATCGTCTCGTCGTTGAGCCCCAGCACCTCGGAGAGCCGCCGGTACAGCTGGGGAGGGAACAACACCCGGTTAAAAACTGCCAGGAGAACAAGGAATCCTCCAAGAGGAGTCGTTTTTCCCCTTGTGGAATGATGTAGGGAGGTGTTTGCTCCGGGATTTCCCAGATCTCGGCATCTGATCTCGCCCCTAATCGCTGTCTCCTCTTTCTTGGAGGTCCAGACACTGCACATAAAAGCAGGAGCACTTGGTTTTCCAAGGAAAAGGGGGCATAAAACCCATGCTCCTCCACCTCCAACTACACCCAGTACTTACTGCATTTATCTGGAACTCTTAGCAGCAGTCCCCAAGTCTCTGGGGTAGGGAAGGAAGGTTATGACCAGAAAGGAAGAGAACCCAGTTTGGAGCAATGATGTTCCCATCCTCCGTGGATTTTTTTCATTTAAAACAAGGATATCACACCTCTAAAGAGGCACCAAGGCACCAGCACACCTACAACTGCCTTGGCATGAAGAGAAGGGAGATTTATCTCCGCTTCACAGCCAGGGAAGCAAGAGAGAGATGAAACTCCATGGGTGTTTGAGGTGGTCAGAGGTTTTCAGGGAAAACTGAATTATGGTTTCCAGTTCTCAGCTCCCGAGAAGGAGCCAAAGCCAATGGCTCCTTCCTGACGTGGGTATTTCAAAAAACAGCTCAAAAATAACACTTGGGAACAAATCTAGAAATCACAGCAAATGGGACTTGTAAGAATCTCCAGCTGAAGAGAGGAGGAAATCATTAATGCCTCTGGTTTTCCTTTCAAAAAAGCAGGGATCACTGGAGTTTGGATCCCCAAGGAGCCCCAGCCAAGGGCACTGATTACCTTGGAAGACTTCTGCACCTGATCTCCGATATAGATCTTCCGGAACTGCTCGAAGAAGCTCAGCATGGCCAACTCCAGCTTCTCATTCCCAGCCTGGGCCAGGCGGGAATCCGTCAGGTTCATCAGCTGCAGCACCCTGGGAAAAGGTGGGAAAACACACCTTGCTGAGGGACACGGGGAGCAAGGAGGGATTTCTGGGATTGTGGTGCTGTTTCCAGGCTTTTTGCTTTCCAGGGGAATTGTTGTTTTGGGTTGGGAATTCACAAAACTGGTGACAAAGCAGCGCCCAGGGCAGGTTGCTCTGCGGTGTAAAGCTGTTGTGAGGCTTCTCCATCCCTGCAGGAACACCCCCCATGAGCTGGGTGGGGGGATTTGGGGGTAAAGAACACCCCTGCAGCACAACTGGGGGGTAAACCCAAGGATATCCCTTTGGGCAAGTGCCACAAAGCAGGAAAGAAACCCAAATATTAACAGATTTCTGTGGACATTTATCATCTGTGATGGTTCTAAAGGTAACTGAAATATAGATGGGGGTCTCATAATTTCCCCTTTTTAATTCATCAGCCTCATGGGAAGCCAGAGCTTGGACCTGTTGGTTTACCCACAGCTCAGCTTCCACACCTTCACACTTCAGCTCCTTCTCCTATCCTGGTTTCCAAGGGGAGCATTAAGATCTGGACCAGAAAACATTCAGTGGGACTCAAGGTTTTATCCTCACACCCACCAAATAAAGCTTGCACTGGGCCAGGATTTGCAATCCCAAAAATCCCAGCATGTTTTAGGGAACACTGTGAAGTTTTAACTTCAGAACTACAACACTCACAGTTCACTTATGAACAAAAGCCACTTGGGATTATTAACCATGAAAAAAAGACTTTTCCCTCTCCAACCCAGCAAAGAACCATCATGTATTTAGTCAGTGATTCAACCAACGAGCCCCTTTTCCATGTTCTTCCCCTCTCAGTTTGCTCCTCACAACCCAAATCCCCCCAATTTAGCCAACGAGCGCCACCGATCCCTCCTTCCCTCAGCTAATTCCAAGGGGTCTGGAGGTGAAAGGAGGGGAAGAACAGGGTGGCAGGGTCAGCAGGGTGGTTTTGGGGAGGGCTCCAGCAGCCAGAGGCGCTTCCCTACCGACAGACCAACTCTCCATCCATGGCATCCTGCTCGTCCGTGCTGGCGAACGACACGCGCCCGCCAATGACCGCCCCGATGATGTAGACGAGCCACGTCAGGCGCCCTGCAGGCAACAGAGGACATGAGAACCAGCAGAGAACCACGAGATCCACGAGATCTGACCCTCATCTGGGCACAAGGGGTGTCTTTCTGCTCTGGGGGCTGTCTGTCCCCACAGGACTCGGTTATGCACCCTGTGGTGAGGGACCTCTTCTGACGGCCCCTGGCGCTGACCCAGGGCTTTGATGGAATGTGCAGCGCCAAGGAAAAAGGCTCTGGTGTGGTGTTTATGAGACAGAACTTTCCATCTTAATGCTTTCATTGCTATTTTGTGGTGCCCCTGGATCCCTGGAAGTGTCCAAGGGCAGGTTGGAGCAACCTGGGCTAGAGGAAGGTGTCCCTGCCCATGGCTGAGAGTGGGACTGGATGGGCTTTAAGGTCCTTTCCAACCCCAAACCATTCCAGGATTTACTGGGGTTCTTCCCAATCTTCCAGGTCTCCCTGGAAGATTGTCCTTATTCAGAGCTTTCCCACTGCAGAAAGTCACTTCCTTGTAAAAGGAGGTCCTGTGCACTTTAACGTGCCAGCAAGTGTTTATTCCTTCAAGGGATGTGGAGAAGTCAACTTAGATGGGGGTTTTCCCCACAAATAAAGTCGAAAAAAAATAAGGAATAACTGTGTTAAACCAGGTAGTGCCATTTCAGAAGGAAAAGGAACAGTTCCCATACCTGTTCTGATGCACCCAACTCCTCCAGGGACAGGGAAGCAGATCCAGTGTTAGAGAGGGGAATAATCCCTGAGCCCCCAGAGGAGCTGCTGTGCTCTGGCCTGTGTTAAACAGCTCCTGACCCCCCACGCTGAGCCCACCTCGGGCTGTGCACACAAACCACTTCAGGCAGTGGCACCAGGTGAAAATCCCACTGCCAGTCACTCTTTACCAACAACCAGCTGGAGGTTTCTGCCCCACAGCCAACGAGGAGGGGCAAAGGAGCACCCACATCCCCCCTCAGGGAAAACAGGGATGGCAGTGCTGGAGGGGGAACACCCTTGTGACTTGTCTCTGAAAGAACAGGCAAGGAAATGTGTTATATTTCCCCCAAAAAGTCGAAATTGGGTCAGCTGTTGGACAGCACCGTGAGGAGGGTCAAAGCAGCACCCACATCCCAGCCCAGGGAAAGAGGGACGAGCTGGGCAGTGCTGGGTGGGGAACACCCTCGTGGCTCTGACAGAACAGGCAAGGAAACACATTGTATTTCCCCCCAAACATAAGGATGGGGTCAGTTCTAGGACAGCCCCCTCTCCAGCAGGAACACTGGGTGTCCAAACCATCCCGCTCCTTGTGGCAGCGCGGGGGAGATGATCCTCCCTGCTGGGCGGGTTGTTCTGGGAATCCCAGAATCAGCTGGGCTGGAAGGGACCTCTGAGATCATCCAGTCCAACTCTTGATCCAACCCC